TGACCTGACCCGGCATTTTTTTTTTTTGCTGAGATGTGCGCAATGAGCATTTAGGAAAAGTCACCAAATATGAGCTTAATGTCTCGCGGCGTTTGGCAATTGTACAAGAAAATCCTGAAAGGTCTCCCCGTCCGAAATAGGGTTAATGTGTATATGAAGAGTTGCAGATACCAAACATACTCAGATCTAAGACTGCAGTTCCCAGCGCCGCTGCAACGTTTTTAAAACAAACATACATAGGACATACAAACATGTTTATTTGCATCTGTTTTGGATAATAGCAACTCATGGCACCATCACCCGCGATAACTGTTAGGATTTGAGATATATTTTTATTTAGGCCATTAGTTTGGCTGTAATGTTTATTAATATTAGTTGGGCGGAGTTTGGTAGTTTTTTATTTAACTTGTGGTATGTTGTGCTGATTGCGGGTTGTTCAAACCTTTCAAATGTAAGGACCTTATTGAACTCAACCCTACCCCTACACTACCCTACATACGACTGGACGCTTTCCAAGCCCACAAGCATCACGACGCCGAGATGGAATGTAGCCGAGAAATCACCCTCGCCATCTGCTCTAGAGCTAATCGTGTGGGGCGGCGTGTGGGGCGCCGCTTAGCCTATGGGGTGCACTTCTAGTGGATGGGGGACGGGGGTGCACCTGCACCCCTTTCATATGGAAAGTTACTTCCCTGATTACAGCTCCCCGTATTGCACCTAATCAGGGAACGGCCAGCAAACGAAGGAACTATTTCTGGATGACAGGCGAATAACCGCTCACGCAAGGAGCGGAGCTCCGCCCCGTCCAAAGTGGCCAACAAAGCAGAGACAGAGTCACAGAGGCAGCATCACATCTTCCATCAAAGAACTGGTTTCTGGCTTGGAAGATGAGCTCCATCTTTGGATCCGAGTCGGTGCTGTCAGGAATCAGCTGGTCTAATGGAGTGAGAGTAGTGAGACGACTAGCTATTGTATCAGAGCTGCCTGGTCTTCGTAGCATTTGCACCGATTCTTCTGGATCGGACTCTGGATTCTGTCCCTCCTGCGTATTACTTGAGGCATTGCTATGTAGCTAAGTCTTTGGCAGAGTTTCATTATCCATGCTTTGCAAACAGTGCATTAACAACACAGTTAACTAATCACCAAGCTTCTTTGCAAGTTCCAATACAGTTGAATCGCACGCGATTTGAGTGCAAAAATCAAGAAAAGTGCCAACTTGTTCCCGTAAAATATTTTGAATATTGACCTAAAAAAATGAGTAATTTCCAGATAAAATAACAGCGAAATCAGTTTTCGCTTGCCAATAAAACTCACAGATATTGAAGCTCCATTATTAAAGGAACATTTTAGTATATGCCATTCTTGATAAAACTTCTTAGCCACGCAATACCAGCGCAAAATAAAGAGACACTGAAAACACGACCAATCACTCCGATTTACCATAGGAAAATACATAGAAAATGTATGTCTCAACTGCGCCAAATATACAGACATTTATATACCTACATTTGACGTCATGATTAGCCCGACCAATCAGAAGCAAGTTGTTTTCAGCCACAAATAATTAATTTCTGAACTAACTAGGCATTTTTATAACAAAGTGATTTTAAATTAAATCATTAAAAATTCTGAGCTTTTTTATTTTACCAAAACATACAGAGCATGCAGATAGGTCCCAACCCTAACAGCGCCCAATAAAACGCCTATTAATTACCGCTCTCAATGCTGTGTTTCTCCATGAGTAGATCGGTATATCTCACAGCAGTATGAGCAGCATGGACGATAGCAGGGATGGCATTAGGAGCAGCAGAAGCTAGCAGACCAGTAGATCAGTGGAAGCCAGCTCGGGAGAAGACGGTGTAGGTCGGACAGCCGTCATGAGAGCGTCGGCCGCTGTGTCGCGCCACTCGGCAGAAAGCGACGCTGACGGCGCGTTGGAGGCTGTCGCGGCGCGGGTCACTGCACACGCCAGGTCAGCCGAGCGGAACCGATCGAAACAGAACGGTCAGTCTGCCGGCCACCAGAGCCCCAGTCACCGTAGCGCGGGCAGCGCCGGGAAAAGAGATGGGCTTTTACTGCGCCAAACATTCATGAGCTTTTCTGGGAGAGTGCACACGAAGCTGTGAAGCATACAGTATCTCGCTGCATTAATTTGCATTGCATTTATAAGGCGATATTACTGCTCTCTTTAGATTTTCATGTTTTGTGCCAATGCCTAAATGTGTGTGTTGTTAGGCTTCAATTTTTGTTTATCAGTATGAGACGAATGATTGCATGATAAGGACATGCTCCGAGGACACATGGTTACGGTGCGTGTGAGGATTGGCGCATTTGGTTTTTGATAAAAGGTAAGATAATTTTGATATGTCATTAACTTTGACTTTTTTATCAAGGTGTAAGGTTTGATGCCGAGGCTTCACCTTGCGAGTGAAGGGCGTTCTTCCACCGTGAGGAAATTCGTGGAAGAGGGGGGGATGTCTTGTCTTGATTCGTGTGTACGATGGACAACTTACGAGTGACGGATGGGATAATGTTCGTCTTTGGAGATTCGTGGAGAGAGGGGAAGCCCCTTGTTTTGATTCGGATGAATGATACATGATTTGATACAGGTGGTGGGCGGGTGAACGTCCTTTTCTGGAGTTACATGGGAGGAGAGAACGCCTTTCGTTTTGTACGTCTTTTATGTCGGTTCGCGAAAGTTGTATTCGGCTCACTGTTCAAGATATATTCGAATGAAAATATTTAGTTGTTTCCGTCTACTGTTGAGCCGTCTGAAATAATAATATAATTCAGTTTGGAGTTGTAGAATTGTGGAAGAGTTTATGAGAGTTTTTGCGGATTATTTTGTTAGAATAACCGGGTATTCTAGAAGCACATGGATCGGCGCAGAGCTGTGAGAGAATTCTACAAGAGCTCAGAGGAGTATAGTTGAAGGAGTATTCAAAATTAAAGTGTGCTTTTGAAGAACATGAAAAGGGCCATGTAAGAGTATAAATAATATTTGTGGAGTCATAGAGTCAAAGAAGAGTTTCAGATGAATTTTATCCGAGTGTGATGTTGAAGAAGAGTTGCATCGAGGGTAAAAAATGACAGCTCTTTCTAATGTGCTGGAAAGAGTCAAATTTTCTCTCCGTGTGGCTTGGGGGATGGGTGACGATGGCGGGGAAGAAGAGGAGAGAGAAGTCCGAACCATTTTAGCCGTTGGTAAACGGTACTTTCTTTCTCCGTGTTGCGTCACTTTCAAGAGACACTGTAAGTACATCTCAGAAGTCTAGTTTTGCATTTTTATCTTCCTATGGTCTCACATTAACTGCATAGTTCGGGAGAAGTTTACATGCTGTTCACATGTGAGCGCTCACTATCACCTGAATCACTTACCACACTGCAATGAAATATTTACTTATATAGCTTTCGTGTTATGTTGGCAAAGCTCACTAACCCAAGGCGAGTTAAATTGACATTGAAAATCTGCGGGTTAGTCAATTAGTGAGATGTCGATGGAACACGCTTTGGTTTAGTGAGATTTGCCAGGATAACATGGAAATAAGTTAACCTTTTTTTGCAGTGTAAGCATCTTGGTAGCATATAACAGTACTCTATGATGTACACCGGTGCTTATGAAAGTCAATGCAGAACTATAGATAAAAATAAACGTTCACATAATTTTTCATGTTGGGTCCTCATAAGCACTCATGAAGCGCTTATGAAGAAATAACTAGCGTTTTAGTTTGTAAATTGTAAAAATACTTTTATAGCTGTCAAACCAGCTATCCTTGTCTCAAATTTTACTGCTTGGTGAGTGCAGCCAGAAAGGACTAAATTATGTTTTACAAGATCATCCCCTCGTCTTAAGACAAGATCATCCTGTCTTAGCCCTCGCCAGACTGGCGACCTCTACTGCAAATGATATCGTGACGTATTCATCCACGCCATCTACCGTTATCGTACGATGAGAGAACTTAAACGGTTGGGGGGGGGGGGGCTGTCCATTACAGCTAGCAGCCCACTTACTTGATTCTTGGGTTTAGAGCATCGTCAACATGAAAACTGGTTCAACCGCTTTTTTTAAATTTGATTTATCAGCATCGCATTTATAAATGGATTGCTTAGCTGTAAGTTCTAAATATAAAAGTTAAAACCACACATACCTACTGGCTGTTTTGTTTTATTGCTTTCGCGCTGAATGAAGTGTTTTCTATATACTCAAAACTGAAGCTCTTGGTGCTCCACCAAGGACGAGCCCGTCTCTGGGGACAGGCCACCCAGCCTCGCAAATGCTCACCCCACCCCACCCCGCTGCACAGGAGCAGGCTTGGATGGGAGCTACTCGAGTCGGTTTAAAGTGACCATCGAGTCCGGAACAGGGGTTTCGAGGCGATGACAAAGATTGTGCAGCCTGAGGACACTGGACAGATCAGGGGGCTGGACGACGGCTGGTAAGGACCTTATTTACTGAAGACTGGGTAAGTTTGTTTGTTTGTTTGTTTGTTTGTTTGTTTGTTTGTTTTGTTGGGTTAGATCTCTCGGTCTAACGGGACCATTTCAGAGCCCAAAGGATGATATGAGTTAGGGAGGGTCATTGGTCTGGGCGCGCACCCTGGTGACTCGTCGGGGCTGAGCCCGTCACGAGAACAGGCTACCCAACCTCCTGACAGTCACCGCACCCGGCTGCTTGTTCAAAAGAAGTGCATCTATGCAGGTATATCGGTCCAATTTTGTCAGCCTTTTTTGACATAACCCGTGTAATTTTGTTTGTACATAGCACTACATCCAGCATCCGATACCTATTCATTTCTTACGATTGGAAAACCGTGAACTATAGCCAAACCATCACACAATAGGTGGCACTTCTCCTACAGCCAGCCGGGCATAGTGGGCCGTTTTCCCACCCCCTCCTCCGCGCTATCTAGCGTCAGACAGCCGAACCACATCCGCCGCGCCTGTCCACCCGCTAGCGCCAACTGGCGGACAGCTGTCGAACCACGAAGGTCAGCCAGCATGGAGTATGGCCGGCGGCGGTGTCAGAAACGGGACCGGACGGCGGCGGGCCGGGCGCGCTGACCGCTGAGCCGGCGTCTGGGTCGCCTTCTGTCCGTGTGCCGCTGTCGGAGTGAGGGGCCGCGCTGTGCCGCGTGGGCAGGACGAGTCTGGGGACGGTCTGTGTGAGCTGTGGGGCTAGGCCGGTGTGTGAACGGCCGTGGGACGCGCAGTGACGGTGAGCCGGCAGGGCTGCAGTATGGCGGACGGGCCGCGCGCAGTGCCGTGTTTGTGAAAGTCTCAGCTGCGGCGGATCGGTCGGCAGTGGTGGCGCCCGGCGACGGTGAACAGCAACAATGGCGTTCCTCTGTCCTGTCAGGATTCGGCGGAACAAGAAGAAGAAATGTGAGTAGTTGGGTGGGTGAACGGTGGGGAGCCCCGTGACAAAGCAGCAGGTTCTTGGGATTAGCGATGCTCGGTATGCGGGAGGTAGTAGGGCCAGAGCCATGATGGGTGGGTTCTATTCCATCAAAACCATGCAACCTCTCAAACTTTATTCATCATTCAGTTGCTCGGGCATTTGATTCACGGTTTAAAGCGAGATTATGGAAGAGAAATGGGAAAACTTCCTTGCTAAAATATGATAAAGCGTTGTCACGGACACTGATTTGCTTAATTGTATTCTAATGAGTTTCTTGTGAGCTCCAATGTCGCTGTCATGGTACTTTATGATGGTAATGTATGAGGAAGCCCTTTTGACTATGTATGCGACAGACGACGCCTATGTCCTATAACCCTTTGAACGACCGTACGGACCGGTTCGGTGGTGAAAATTCCCCCTCCCCAGCCCCTCCCCACCCAGCTGACTCGCTCGCCCGCGGGTCTCCACGCGTCGCCAGGTCAACGTGGGCTGTCACAATCAATCACGGTCGTGTCTGAGAGGTCAGCCGATCGGTCTCACGTTCCCTCACTCCGCTGTCTGATCCTTGATTACACGAATCGTAATCAGCCGGCGCCGAGCGCCCAATTTGACATGTTGTGACACGTCATAGGTATGCGCTTTAGCGATGGTGCCTCTGGGTGCCCGATATCAAATAGTGGCCGTGCGTGCGCGCCTCTGCGTCCAACGCCCAACGGCATCTCCTCTGCGAGACGGGTCGCCAGCTACTGGTGTTATTAGCCTGTGCGCTCCTGCAGTTTCCCATAGGCCGTACTGCAGTCTCCCGTAGGCGCTATTGGCATGCAGGCTACTGCAGTCTCCCATAGGCCGTAGGCGCTATTGGCGTGCAGGCTACTCAGCAGTCTCCCATGACTCGCTGGTGTTATCTACCTGTGCGCTTTAGCAGTCAACGATGACTGCTGGTGTTAGCTGCCTGTGCGCTACTGCAGTCTCCCATCAACCGTTGGTGTTATTTGCCTGTGCGCTACTGCAGTCTCCTTATGTTCACTGGTGTTATCTACCTTACGGTATTGCAGTCTCCACCGAACAGGGCCCTCTGGTGCTATTTGCCTGCGCGCTATAGTGAGTCTCCCCTACCCGGCCGCTAGATGAGTATCTGGGTATGCGTTATTGCAGTCTCCCGTGGCCCGCTGGTGTTATTGCCTGAAGGCTATTGCAGTCTCCCGGAGACTGTTGGTGTTATTAGCCTGTGTGTCCTAGTGCAGGTATGCGCTTAGTTGCAGCCTGTGTCCCGCCGGTGCTACTGCTATCTGCCTGTGAGCTATCACAGTCCCGCTGGTGTTATATTCCAGTGCCCTACTGCAGTCTCCGGACCGTTATGTGCCCATGCAGCGAGGCAGTCTCCGGGCCGGGCCGGCGCGGCTCAGTGTCCGCTGCCGGCCTGTGGCCGAGCTGCCTCAGAAACTGGGAGGATTAATATCATTCAGCGTTGCAGGAAATGTGTGATAAGGAGCATATTTATAATACATACGAGTATATATGATAATTGATCTTACCGGCGGCAGTTGGATGAGAATTTAAAGGCAGCAAAGGCAAGAAGAAAAAGGTTGCTGCATAGGCACTGTTTCCATGACATCTTCAGCATGCGTGTTACTTTTCTGATCACCGCTGTTCGGGTTTTCCACCTGGTTTCTCATGACTGAATCCCTAATTCAGAATGTCTTATCTATCACATTATACTTTCATTCAGCCATGGTCGATTGAGGAGGAATCTTAATCCTGCCTCATGCATTCTGAAGCGACGGTCCGATAAGCAACTCTTCAAAGCCGGTCTTGGCGTGCCAAGCTAAATTTGGAATCACAATAGGACATGTGTTCAGGAAACGTAAATAACACATCATTCTGTCATGGCTGGCTCAGTCGTTGCCATGATAAGGGAGCCTCTCATGCTAAGGTTTGTCACTTGTGTTCCTCAGTAGATCTCGGATGCGGTGTGGACACACGACGTGCTATTGGAAGCTGTAGAGTCATTGGCGCTGCTCATGGACGGCGACACGTACCAAATAAGCGCTATCTCGTCTGAATTGCAAACAGTTACTAATGCTGAATGTTGGTCGAACAACTACTGGATATGTCCGTTTATTTACACCGTTAAATGACAAACAGAAAGATCTCCACTTAATTCCTCTGGATAGAGTAATGCATAATGAATAATGAGCACTGGCTGATGCCGATTTTTATGACTCTACTCCACTCATTCGTGCCCCTTTGATAGGCCTTGATGTCGGGGTTCGTGTTTCCGGCTCCTCAAGGCCCCTGATTGGGACCTTTTTACGGGCGTTTGATGGCAGCTGTCTCATGACGAAGCCCGAGCAAATGACTGACTAGACTAGAGGTCACATAAAAGAGCAGCCTCTGAACTGATGGTTGCTCTTATTGACCACTGATTTGCAGCTGTTAGTGACGGGTTAATTGGAAGCCCTTGTTTAACAACGTTTTTAAAACAAACAACGCACTATTTATCGCGATAAGATAAGCAGAAAAAATCAAGATCGCTACAGGAGAGCCCATTCTTCTTTACAAGATATCTTAAAAAAAGTTGTTCTGTGTAATTCCGTTACCCTGACCTGACCTGACCTGACCTGATCTTTCTTCAGCTAACGATGACACGGCCTCGGTGCGGACACCGGGAATGGGCCGCATCACGGGCTCGTCCAGTATCGAGACCCTGGTGCGGGTCGGCATTGAGAAGGAGAACGGCCTCTCCGCTGACAGCAAGATGGTGGTGCTACACGACTTCACTCCGTGCGTGGACGACGAGCTGGAGGTCAAACGCGGCACGGTCAGTACCCACTGCGGGGAGAGGGTGACGGTCAGTACTAGAGGTCTGCACCGGCCGGCTGCAGCCGCGGCTGGCTGCAGCCCCACGGCTGTGGGCCGGGGCGGCTGCAAATATCTCCAAGAACACGGCTACGGCTGTGGCCACGGCTGTGAGATTTCAAGCTCAATCTTAAGTACTCAAATATAAAATTTTAAATCCTTAATCTTACATTCTGATAAGCAGTCTAGCCTGTAAAAATCATGCAAAGGATGCCCAGCAACATTGAAAGTGGTGAAGCCTTTGAAAACCTATAATGGTTTTACCATTTGCTGTAGGGGAGTTTGCACTCTGGTACAGAATACTAATTATAGGTACCAATTGTTCCTTCATCATCAAGAGCTTGACAGTTTCAGAAAATGCAACATGTTGCATTGTCACATCCCTCTCAAATCAATCTCACCTGGTCATTAGGAGAGCACCTTACAGCTATTGAAGACGAGCGTTCAATAATTCCTTCAGGTAATAGAAAAAGAAATCACGCCTAGGTAAAGGCAGGTAAAGGCTTCATAAAATATTATCTAAAATAACTCTTAGATGTATTTCTGGATTTTCGGCAAGTCAAATTACATAATATAAAACTGGCGCTTTATGTTCTAACTGGTGTGTGGGTGACCGCTAACAGAAAATGCTGATCAACGAAGCCAATGAAATTAGATTTTAAGTGAGCATGAACCTTACTTACGGTTAATTCACATGATGGTGAAAACCCTGAACACGTAATTCATATGGCGGTGAAAACCCTGAACACAATATTTCTTACGCGAGCTGTTGACTTTACTAATAAAATGACGTCTTCTTCTGAAAATTTAAAAATTTGATAACTAATCTTTGTTTGAGAGCAAGTTTTCAACTGCATAGCATTATTATTAATTAATTGTAATTTTTATGGCTGTTTATAGTGACACAAAACAATTTATTGCCTTTTCTTTGCTATTGACGTCATTAAAAACTCAAGTAAAATTTTGATTGAAAGAGGCAATTGTGGCTCGCACGTCCTTGGGGATTTGAGCGAAGATCATTATTTGGAAAAATCAAAATAGATGAATGTTTTTCTTTCTTGGATGCTCACTGGTGTTTTGATGCCTTGCATATCAAATTAGTTTGAGACTTGCTCAGAAGGCTGCTTCAAGCCTGGCATATCACACCCCAGAAAATATGCAAGGTAAGAAAGAAGCAAGAGTTTTCCATACCTAACATTGATAATGAAAAGCATCAGGGTCTGTTGTTCTGTCCCACAACCATGCTTCAGGATTTGGCATTAGATGTCTACACTGCTAGTGCTTCTATTCTGGTTCGTTGTTTATGTTTTCTGTTGATGTGGGTACCTACCTACCCATCTTTCTTAACCCCTTGCAAGGGCTTGTGTAGGCATGCGATGCGCATCAGGCTTCAGGCCTTCGGCCTAAAGCCAGATACACAACCACTTAACCTATGATGCTTCATGAGCTTGAGAATCTATAGCCCATTGCAATGTGCTTTTGGCTATATGTTTCAACTAAAAACAACTGATTATATACTATTTGGTTGCATTTCACTCAAATTATCCACGGCCGGCTGACGGCTGGCTGCCCACAGTTTGCCACAGCTGTGGGCGGCTGTGGCTGTGAAGCCACGGCTGCGGGGCGGCTAGGCTGTGGAAAATTGCAGCCGTGCAGAACTCTAGTCAGTACCCACTGCGGGGAGGGGCGCGGGTCAGTACCCACTGCGGGGAGAGGGTGAGGGACAGTACCCACTGCGGGGAGAGGGTGACGGTCAGTACCCACTGCGGGGAGAGGGTGAGGGACAGTACCCACTGCGGGGAGAGGGTGAGGGACAGTACCCACTGCGGGGAGAGGGTGACGGTCAGTACCCACTGCGGGGGAGAGGGTGACGTTCAGTACCCACAGCGGGGGAGAGGGTGACGGACAGTACCCAATGTGGGGGAGGGGTGACGGTCAGTAGTTCAGTACCCGCTGCAGGGGGAGGGGTGACGGTCAGTAGTTCAGTACCCGCTGCAGGGGGAGGGGTGACGGTCAGTAGTCAGTACCCATTGCGGGGGTGGAGTGACGGTTAGTACACTCAGTAGTCAGTACCCACTGCGGGGAGGGGTGACGGTCAGTACCCATTGTGGGGGAGAGGGTGACGGTCAGTACCCACTGCGGGGGAGAGGTGACGGTCAGTACCCAATGTGGGGAGAGGGTGACGGTCAGTACCCAATGTGGGGAGAGGGTGACGGTCAGTACCCAATGTGGGGAGAGGGTGACGGTCAGTACCCACTGCGGGGGAGAGGGTGACGGTCAGTACCCAATGTGGGGAGAGGGCGACGGTCAGTACCCAATGTGAGAGAGGGTGACAGTCAGTGCCCACTGCGGGGGAGAGGGTGACGGTCAGTACCCACTGCGGGGGAGAGGGTGACGGTCAGTACCCAATGTGGGGAGAGGGTGACAGTCAGTACCCAATGTGGGGAGGGGGTGACGGTCAGTACCTACAGCGGGGGAGAGGGTGACGGTCAGGGCTGAAGTGATAGTGCTAGCAATGTTAGAGCGGGGGGGGGGGGGGGGGGTATTTGGGATTGCAAGGTTTGGGGATGTGTGGGATTGCAGCTTTGGATCGGTAGCCTCATATTCGGATGCGATTACGATCAGCCAAAGGCCGACGGCAGGCTTTACTTAGTTCATGTGCACAACGCATGCGATATTTTGATGAAGGTTTATGTCTCTAATGTTTGTGTAAGGGTCAAATGTAAGGCTTATTTGCTACTCTTGCTGGGTTGCTATTTTATTCTTAAGCATCCTAATCTCATTGACAAATAACAAATAGCTAAGTGGATACAAACAACTAGCTTGTATCATGTGAAATGGATGTCGGCTAGTTTTGGCCAACTGTGTAGGTGTGCCTTGAATGGAATATTAGCCTCGGGCATTGTTCATTGTTCCGAGCCATCTGTTGCCACTTGAATGCCGCTCGCTTCACTGGCTTTGTAGCCACTTCCAATGGCCCACCTGATCAGGCCGGCATATGTGAGAGCCAGAAATCACGAGGGTAATTCTGGATAATGGATGCGAGCAGACCATGAAAGAGGAGCACGCGGGAGCCTAGACGGCCCAGTTGTTAGCCGCTCGGCGATGGACAGACAGTCTGTGCCGGCTAGTGGACCGAAATTCCTCCAGTCAATCCACTTGGAACGTATTATATGAAAGCATAACGATCCCCGAGCTGTGAGAATGAGCGAATGGGACCAAAAAAGCGATTCGCCGATAAGCAGTTAGCGAAGGACGATTTCGCTGACAATCTTTTTCAGAATAATATTTGTGCTGCGCTATCCTGGACGATCCTCCTTTTCTTTAAAGTAATCTCGACTTGCAAAACGCAAACGTTTGAATGAAACATGCCAGTTGGCTTGCTATTGCAACTTCACAAGTGCTGGTCTCATTTGCTACTTTGATTGTTTGAGTTTCTTACTGCCGAGTTTCTTACTGCCACACACCCACTCTCCCGTGATCTTCCACTCGCTTCTGAACGGGTGCGGAGGGGTGGAGCGGCGTCGGTCGGTAAACTCTGGTGTGCAGTCGCTGCCCCCAGCCGTCTGCGAGGGCTGGAGGTGGGAGGTGCCCGGCTCCTCACTCATCCGACCGCCTGCAGCGGCGGAGAGGCGCCGGCCGTGCAGTCGGTGCCCCCGGTCAGCTGACAGCAAGGTCACGGACGCGCCGCGGCCGCCGCTGCCATGTCGGCTCTGAAGGCCAGGGGCCGGCCGGCCCGGCAAGGCGCGGCGCGGCGCCCCCTCACAGATACGTTATCGGACTCATCTGACCGGCATGTCCGCCACCATCCGTGGAATGTAACACCGGGTCCGCGCCCACGCGTTCAAACAGCACCGCTCCGTCTCCGGCCGGTACCCACTGGTCGTGCTCCCTCAGTTACCATCCCTACCAGGTCAGCCCGCCTCACAAAGAACTGCCGGCCTCAGGGTGGCCAGTCCGGCGCAGGTCGGCTCCTTTTGTCGGCGGCCGCGCCTGCCAGGTGTCCGGTGTCGCCGGCGGGCACTGGAAGCCGCACCGAGGCCGGTCGGGCCCGGCGCGGCGCGCCAGGGACCGCTGAGGTGCGGTGCGGGGGCTGGGAGAGCCGGACGCGGCGGCTCAAATCGGTGAAAACGCTGCGGACCTCCAGAGAACGGCGCCTGCCGGCCTGCGCTCGATCGCTCCAGTTATTATAGGAGCATAAAATGGAGTCGGTACAAAAAACAAAGGCCGGGGAGACGCGAGATGATTGAAACAGGCAGCAGCGACGAGTGAAGGGGAGTGAGAGAGAGTGAGGGAAAACGAGGGAGCAAGGGAGAAATGGGAGAGAGGAGAGAAAGAGGGAGGGAGATAGAGAGAGAGAGAGAGAGAGAGAGAGAGAGAGGGAGCGAGAGAGAAAGAGGGAAAGAGAGTGAGAGAGAGAAAGAGAGCACAGACCGTGGAGAGAGGTGGAGGGAGGTGGAGTGGAAGCCCGCCCGATCACGCCGCTCTATTCACCGCGCGGGAAACTCGGTGATGAAATAGTGAAATAAAAAGCAGCTCATGTCTGCTGATCGATTCAAAGCGCAGCAAATCGGTCGTTGTAGAAGTGATAGCGGTGACGGAAACAATCAATAAAACCTATTCAAATGCGCGCCCGCGGCCGGCGCCGATCGCGCGTGGCATAATGAGCTGTTTCCCAAACTGATTTGGATAGATTGCCGAGCTGGTGCGCTGTTGGCCGCGCTGTTACTGGGAAGGTGGACCAAACAGCGACACCCGCTAATTTCAGTGTCTGAACGCATTCAGACGTATACCTAAGAAGAATCAGCCAATCAGGCACCAGATCCAGCTGAAGGTGTGTTTCAGCGAAAGGCAGGACTTGTGTGTGTGTGGCACATAGCTGAAGGTGTGTTTCACCGAAAGGCAGGACTTGTGTGTGTGGTACATTTATGCGTTAGCATTTGCACCAATCGCTCATAAATA